ATGTGTCAACATAACAGAGGCAGAAAGGGGGGGGGAAGAGGAGGACAGGAGGGGAGGGTAAGGAAGAGGGGAGTGTTCACTGACAATGGGGAGCAGTAACTGGCGAGTAAGATCCCTTTCTCATTCTTTCTTTAGGGAGCACCTGGAGCAATGGGTGCCCCAGGGCCTGCTGGGGCCACAGGCGAGAGGGTAAGCATGCATTCCTTCTGAGCAGCACCCCAGCTCTTAGGCAGAGCCCAGGCAGTTATGGCAGCTTGGGGTAAACCCTACTTGAAGCCCTGCTCTGCCTCCTAGGATAGCCAGGAACCAACAGAAGCATTTTTCCCACTGTCTGGCCACTGAGCACACCTACCCCCAGACTTTCCGTGTTCAGCATCTCACAACACTCTGGCTTCTCAAGTTTCAGCTGAATGAGCTGGCTGATGAATCAGTCAATTAATGATCTCCAGATGCCTCATGGACACACACACACACACACACACACACATACATATACACGCAGACACACACACACAAAGACACAGACACAGAGACACACACATACAGACACACATACACATACATACATACACAGACACACACAGACACACACACATACAGATACACACACAAACACACCCACAGACACACACACACACACATACAGCCACACATACACATACATACACATGCAGACAGATACACACACAGAGACACACCCACAGACACAGACACACACAGACACAGAGACACACACATAGACACACCCACATACATACAGACACACATACACATACAGATACACGCACACAGAGACACACCCACAGAGACACAGACAGACAGATAGACACACACACACACACACACACACACACACACAGGCACCCGCCCCCTAGGCCTCATTTAGTGGACCCAAAAGCTTGCACCAGGCAGTCCATCGGCCTCCATCCCGACTAGTCCTTCCTGAAGCCTGTGGCTCCTTCTGAGACAAGACACAGGCCAGTAGCAGCAGCCCCTCCTGCCTCCCCCGGCTCTTTGTAACTGGCCCTCCTGGAGCTCCCATTTCCAGCGCTGCGGCAGCTTACCAGACATGGTAGCCATCAGCCTCTGTTGCTTCCTGGCTACACTTGCTGACCACTTGCCTTTGGTCTCTCCAGGGTGAAGCTGGCCCTGCTGGTCCTGCCGGCCCCACTGGTGCCCGCGGTGCTCCTGTAAGTAGCCCCACACCTGGTTTTGTCAAACTGTGAGACTGGGAAGTCGGGCCAATGTCTGACCCAAAGTCTCCAAATGCTTCTTGTCCCTTCTTCCACGCAGGGTGATCGTGGAGAGGCTGGCCCCGCTGGCCCCAATGGCTTTGCTGGCCCTCCTGTGAGTACGGGTTAATCTACATGAGTGGGCACCAGGCTGGGGAGCAGCGGAGTAGAGGCTTTACTACTCCAGTGGTTCTTCTCCCCTAGGGCGCTGCTGGCCAAGCTGGAGCCAAGGGAGAACGCGGAACCAAAGGACCAAAGGGAGAAAATGGTGCTGTTGGCCCTACTGGCCCTGTGGGGGCAGCTGGCCCTTCGGTGAGTGGCCCTTGCTGGTCAGCCCGGCTTGACTTCCTGGGAATGGCCCACAGACCATTCCATCCACCAGTTGTATTGAGTTCTTTCTGTGAAGACAGCCCCAAGTAGAGCTAACGTCAAGTGGAATGGATCCAGGGGTCTGGGGTGGACTTCCAGCCCAGTGCCTCCCCTCAGCAATGTCTACACACACCAGCCGTCTAGCTTGCTCACACCTGTGCCCACAAGGATGCCGTGAGGTGGGGAGCAAAGTCTTGCTATTCTCATTTCACAGAGGAAGGGACTGAGGCACAGAGAGGGTGAGTGGCTGGCCTGGGATCTTAGAGTATTGGCGCTGGACTCCCTCCAGGACCCCCAGCTGCCTCTGATGATTTAGGTATAGCCTGACCTGAAGGGAGAAGGGTAAACATCCCTTCAAACAGCCCAGATCTAGAAAAAGAAAAACATCACAGAGACTCCCATCACACAAATCGCCGTCCTCAGCTTCCTCAGCTGATCTCCCATGGCCTGCCCCTAAAACAGGGCGGGTCTCACCAAATGCCAGGCATGAGCTCAGGAGGGAAGTCTTCCTGAACCAGAGGCTGACTTCATGGAAGGGCGACTGTCAGGGGCCCCTCTGACTCTTGCTCCTCTTCCTCCTTTTCTGATCTAGGGTCCCAGTGGCCCCCCTGGTCCTGTCGGAGGTCGTGGTGATGGTGGCCCCCCTGTAAGTCCTTGAAGTAAACCGTGGTCCTCTGCTTGGCCTGTAGATGGCAGGTGACACTCTAGGGGGTTGGGACAGGGAACAGGAGGACACACAGAGACACATCCTGCACACCTGTGCTCTTGTGGTTGGCTCTGGAGTAGAGCTTCCCAAATGGGAGTCAGGACCTGGGCTCATGTTCCTTCTTGTGTCCCAAGTCTGGCAGACCTCCCTCTGCTTCTCCACCCCCTCTTCAGGCTCCCCTTCTCCAGGACATCTTGAGCTTCCTCCCCCATTTTCCAACCTGTGGGGGGGAGTCCTTATCAGCACTGGCCCCTCTCCTGGGATAGAAGGCTTCAGGCAGCCTAGCCCCTCTCTTGGGATAGGAGGAAGCATCATCATTGTCCCCTCTCCTGGGATAGGAGGCTTCAGGCAGCCTGGCTCACGCCTGTCTCACAGAAGTGCAATCAGTGTTCCCTTGGTGCCCCCAAAGTGTTGGAGTTAGTGCAAAGGCATGTTAGAAAGGGGAATGGAGGTGTGGCAAGTCTTTGGGATACACCTCCAATCATACCTTGCAGACCATGGCCTTGGTCACAACTCCAGGGAACTTAAAGGAGAAACACCCCAAGCCCATAGCTCAATAATGAGTGACCATCAACCTTGACCCTGGCCTTAACCTTGACCTTTCTTTCAATGCACTTGCTTCCTAGGGTGCAACTGGTTTCCCTGGTGCTGCTGGAAGAACTGGAGCCCCTGGCCCTGCTGTGAGTAAATCCTTGCCAACTCCTGGATAGATCCAAGAGGAAAAAATGTGCCTCGATGGCTAGAATATGTCTCAACTAGTGGCTGCCCCATCCACCCCTAGCAGAGCACAGAATCTCACAATCTGCTAAGAAAACCTGGCAGAGAATCAATCGGGGATGTGGAAGGTGACAGGTTTAATCCCCAGCAAACACTCCTTTTGCTCCTGATCAGGAAGCACTGTCCCCCAACCCCTTAGTTTGTTCAAAGGCAAGTCAGAATCATTTGTGGGTCAGACCCATCCAAGCCTAGCGATCCTGCCCCCCTGTGGCCAGAGTTGGCAATGCCAACCCCGAGCTACTCCGCAGAAGCCAAGGATCCAGTCCTGGGCAGAGGCAGTAAGGAGAAGGGATCCTATGCTGGCGTTTCCAATGTGGGAGCTTCGGTAAATCCTCTGAATGCCCCACTTGGTACCTAGACAATAAACAAAGTGGGAGGGTGGGGATGCTGTTGTCGGCTCCCAAAGTCGCCCTGGGCCCCAGGCCTTGCCGTAACCTGCTCATGGCTGCAGTGTGCCAGCCCCCTCCTCTCAGGAGCCAGCCCCTGCACTGACCTGTGAATCACCACGGCCTTATTAGATATGGACACTCTGCTCCCCAGGGGAGCTCCCCATGCCAAGGGAAGCCCTGGAAATCACCCCAGATTTCTCAGTTGGATGCCCCATGACTTACCCCTTGGGTGACTTGCCCCTTTCCCTCTCCATTCTGGTTTGCCCTTGTCCCATTCCCCCTCCATGGCTTTGGGGAAGGATGTAACCCTCTCTGCTTGCCTTCAGGGTATCACTGGTCCTCCTGGTCCCCCTGGTGCTGCTGGAAAAGAAGGCCCTCGTGGTCCTCGGGGTGACCAAGGTCCCCTTGGCCGGGCTGGAGAGACAGGTGCTGTTGGCCCCCCTGGCTTCGCTGGAGAGAAGGGTCCCCCCGGAGAGTCCGGCGCTACCGTAAGTGCCATCCCAGCATCCCCTGAAACAACCCAATGCACAGAGCACACACCTCTCAGGGGCCTGCTGGCCACCTTCTCAGCTTATACCAGAAGGGTCGGGGTGGCCTGTTTGTAGAAAGCCTAATGTGTACAGGGATGCAGGCCTTGAATGGTGCAGCATCTCCAGCCAGGCCTCAGATGCATGGGTGGTACCCAGCCTGGCCACAGCATTCAGCATCCTTCCTTTTCTCCAGGGCCCTCCTGGCTCCTCAGGTCCTCAAGGGCTTCTTGGCGCTCCTGGAATCCTTGGTCTGCCTGGCTCAAGAGGAGAGCGTGGTCTTCCTGGGGTCTCTGGAGCCCTGGTGAGTAGTGGCAGTGATTGGCCAAAGGGTCAATCTGCTCCTTCGCTCCCTGTCTCCCTCTGGCCCTTTCCTCATCCTTCCTGCTGGGTCTGTGTAGACGCCAGCCTAAAAGGGAATTGGCCTCTCCTCCATTACAGTGGAAGACCTAGCATCTTTAACCCAAGGGTGGGGTCAGGTCCACAGAAGCTGAATCCCTCCCCTGATTCAGATGTGTGCCCACCACCAGAATTAAGTGGAGCCCCATCCCAGCCATGCACCACTAAATGGCAGCCCCACGTCCAGCTCCTGCTGCCAGGGGCCACTCACCCAGCTGGCTCCTTGCCCCTCACCATCAACTGAAAGGGGCGTATTGTTCGCTAGTGGATTCACTGCACACTTTTCTGCCTTTTCAGGGTGAGCCTGGTCCTCTTGGCATCGCTGGTCCTCCAGGCGCTCGAGGTCCCCCTGGTGCCGTGGGTAACCCTGGCGTCAATGGTGCTCCTGGTGAAGCTGGTCGTGATGTAAGTCAAGGGCCCAGGTGGCTCCAGAAGGGGGTCCTTGCCACAAAGCAACAGTCACAATGTTCTCTTGACGCATCTGAAAGGGATGTTGGACAACAGTCAGGAGGATAGCAGGCCATCCCTCAGACATCCCAGAGGGATTCCCCCAGGTGGCTTGAGAAAACGCCACAAGTGAGGGGCTGGCAGCTAACCTCACTCTTTCCACTCTGGTCCCCTCACTGCAGCTGCAGTGAAGAAAGGACAAGTGATAAACTGGACAGTGTCCAGGACAGGGGAGAGGGAGGACAGCCTGGGGCTGAGAGGCAATGGCTCACAGAGAGCAGCACAGTGAGCTGGGCCCAGGCAAGAGAAGGCTTAAGGAAAATGACGGGGTTGGCCCCTAGGACTGAACAAGGAGCCATGCGAGGAAGGTCCAGGGGGCAGACAGAAGCTCAAGGCCAGGAAGAAGTCTATGAGGAGTAGGGCTGGTCAGAAGAGGAATGAGTCCTGGCCTGGCAGTCGGAGCTGGGCAGGTTCACTGGGGCCAAGGGAGAGAAGAGTCTTGTCTGAAGGCCAGCTGGCCCAGATGATCCTGAGGAAATCCCAAGATTGGCTTGGACTTTGGCTGCTTTGCAGTCAGAGGCCTGGGGGACAGAGAGGCCTGAAGTCAGAACCATTTAAGCTTGAACCTGCTTCTAACACTGGGTAATGGCTCTGGGCCTCGCTTTCCCCATCTTTAAAATGAATAGGTCCCTTTGAGCACCGAATCTAGGGACCTGTGAATCCTAGAGTCTGAGGCTGTCTTCATGGACGCGGGGGTGGAGGGCTGCAGGTCTCTGGCCCTGACCCTTCCTTTGACAGATAAGGCAGTTAGAGGTAAGGGAAGCTGTTTGCCCAGAGCCAGGCCTCACACTCAGCTTTTGGATGCCAAATCCTGCTTTGTTGTGTCGTAGAAAGTAGAGGTGGACTTGGGAAGGAACTGGGATGTTGAAATAGAGGGGCCAAGTCTTGAATGCATGAAGAATTGATGTCCAGACCCTGGGCTAAATGCACAAATGCAAAAGCAAAGACAATCTCTGCCCTCAAGGAGCTTACCTTCTAATAGGAGGAGGCCAGACAGAGCAGAGTGGTGGCCAGGGAGAGGCACTTTGGTCCACAAAATCACTGGGACAGTGTGTGGGGCCACAGGGAAGCACGTTGACCTGTCCCACCCAGGCACAGTGGCAGCTGACGTGATTATGGTTCCAGAACTGGATTAGGGCTGGCAAGGAAAGGGTACAACTGTGTCACTGCTGGCAGGGTCTCACTTATATTGCCGACTGGCCTTTAAAAAGTCTGTTGGGAGGTGGGGCTAGCATTTATTTATAGAGCCCTTTTAAGGTTCACAAAGCACTTTATGTATTATCTCATCTTATCCTCAACAGTGCTGGGATGTCAGTGTCATTATCATCCCATCTTATAGATAAGGAAACTGAGGCAGGCAGCGATTAAATGACTTGTCCAGGGTCACACAGCTAGCAAGTATCTGAGTCTTCCAGACTCTGGCCTCATGCCTATTCACAAGCTCTTTGCTTATCAAAGCCCTAGGAAGTCTTACAATTGTTTCTGTAGATAAGGGTTGCACTGGGTGACCACTGAGGTCCTTCAGGCTCCTTGATACAGCAGATGCTAGAAGGCCAGAGGCCCAATGGGCTGAAGAGACATAGACAGGGCTCAGAGAAAGGGGTCAAGGAACAATCTGTCCCCAAGCATCACCATGCACATCCTTCTGTGTTCTTTGTACCCCAGACCTTAGCCGGTCGGCAGTCTGGCCTGGCACACAGTAGATGTGTGGGGAAAGCTGCCAGCCAATCCCCCAGGAATGCCCAGCCTCCAGGCCCCCACAGAGTTGCTGGGCCTACAGCCCCAGCTTTGGACTGGTTTAATCTACTCCCTGTAGGAAACTCGGAACAGGAGGGAGCTTAGGGCCCTCCTCCAGGGTCAGGGACACTGACCCAGAGCTAAGCAGTCCTGCTGCCCCACTAAGGATCTCCACTCCTTATTGTGTCTTCACAGGGCAACCCTGGCAATGATGGTCCCCCGGGCCGAGACGGTCTCGCTGGTCACAAGGTACATCCATCTTTTCAGTATCACCTTTGCCTGCCCCAGACATCTCCAAACACTCCTCACGAGTTCTCATGTGGCCAGTACTGAGTGCCCCTTTTCCTCCCCTACAGGGAGAGCGCGGCTACCCTGGTAATCCTGGTGCTGTTGGTAACGCTGGCGCTCCTGGCCCTCATGGTGCTGTGGGTCCTGCTGGCAAGCCTGGAAACCGCGGGGAGCCGGTGAGTGAATGCATCAGGACCCTCCCTGCTCACTCCACGGCTGAGCTGGGCCCTCATCGGGTATCCTGGCTGCGGCTACGAGTAACCCTGTCTTTCGTCCTTCTGGTTAATAGGGTCCCGCTGGTTCAGTCGGTCCTGTTGGCCCCTTCGGTGCAAGAGGTCCTAGCGTAAGTATATCAGGAAGACTTTGTTGTTAACCAACATTTATCCAGAATAGCCATCCAGGCCCTTGAAAAATCCTCTTTGCTTTTATAGACTTGTCTTCTTAGCTCTGTTTCCTTCTCTCCACCTGGGTTCCAAGGAGTTGAGAAGATGCACTGGCAGCAATAGCGGCCAAGCTCGTATAGCCCTTTTACCTAAGGGATCTCATTATCAGACAAGGAGGTATATCCTGAGTCCAACAGCTCTACCCACTGTGTAACACTGCCTCTTTGCATTAGGGAGACTCCAGGGCTATTTATTCCCCAAGTCCATCCTAATTTCTTATTAAGACATTTCTCAACACCGTGGTGCTAGAACTATGTAGAGAGAAGTGAGAGCGGCCGGGGGAGCTGGAGGCTAGCCCTAGCTTCCTCCATCTTTCACACTTCTTCCTCTCTGTTGACCAGGGTCCCCAAGGTCCCCGAGGTGACAAGGGAGAACCTGGTGACAAGGGTCCCAGAGGCTTGAATGGTTTCAAAGGACACAATGGATTCCAAGGCCTTCCTGGCATATCTGTAAGTAGGAGCCTCTGCCCAGCCTGCTGACTTCATGGGCCTCTCCATACTGGGGTCCCCATCGCTGCTGGCCCCGACAGCCCAGCTCTTGGTCTTTTTGCCCTGCCCAGCCCAAGGCTTTCTCAGCCCAGGCAGCAGCCGTCAAAGCCAAGGACGAGCAATCATCTGCAAAGTGATTTGGAGCCTTGTCCCCCATTCAAAGAATCTCATGGCAGCTCCTAAGCCTGATCTTAAACTGAATTCCAGAAAAGACCCACTTCCTACTTTCCCCTTCAGACAATTGAAGGGGGACCTTGCTCATCATCCTTGTCTTGTTTTTAAATTTAAATGACTCCTGAATCCCTTTTCTTCCCATATAGGGCCAACATGGTGACCAAGGTGCTCCTGGTTCAGTTGGCCCTGCCGGCCCCAGGGTGAGTGAATTTGAGCAAAGGGCTCCCTCCTCTGGAGCCCAAGGGCAGTAGAATCCTCAGCCTTCTGCCAGGGCTCTAACCCTCTCTCAGGAGGAAGGTGGTCTCTGCCCTCAGCTGGTCCCTCGCTTCCCCTCCTCCTCCCAGCCATCAGTCCTCTCTTCTCTCTGTCAAGCCTTCCTCCAGAGGAGGAGGAAGGTGGTCTCTGTCCCTCTCTCTGTCCTTCCCTCTTCCCCTGGAATTCCCCCAGGCCCCTCTATCATTGCACATTTTTGGTCTCCTGCCAGCTGGTCACTGGGGACCATTCTCTCCTTTTTCCAGGGTCCTGCTGGTCCTTCTGGCCCTGCTGGTAAAGATGGTCGCCCTGGACATGCAGGTGCTGTTGGGCCTGCTGGTCTCCGTGGTTCTCAAGGCAGTCAAGGCCCCGCTGTAAGTGATTTTTGGACGCTGTAAGGGGAACAACACTGACCTGAGTTCACCTTCCTACAGGTCCAAGACATAACAGGCTAAGAGGTGGATGAAATGTCCATGCATCTTGACATGTTATGTCAGACTCATCAAGAGCAGAGCTGGAGAAAGTCCTTGAGCGTTATCTGGCCTGGCCCACCTTTAGGCAATTCAGGCAGCATTATTCCCATTTTAAAGATGAAACAATTGAGGCTGATCAAATGGTAGGAAGTGCCTACATCTCCTGACTCCAGGACATTTATTCCAACTCTTGGCAGTTTATGGAGACTCTGACCCTTGACCCTGAGATCTGAAACCTCTGATGACCTTCTCCATTGCATCTTCCTTGGTGGTTTTTTATTTCCCTTCATTTCCAGCCCTCTTGGTAGTAAGGTTTTTAATATGTCAGAAGTGTCCATGGATCTGGGAGATGCTATCAAGACACCTGGTGCTTCTTAGAGTGGGAAGATGTGGTTTGGTTTGCTCCCTATCCTGGAATATGCCATGATGGGGACCCTTTCCTCCTCCCTGACCTCTCCCCTCAACCTCCGCAGGGTCCTCCTGGTCCCCCTGGCCTGCCTGGTCCCCCTGGCCCAAGCGGCGGTGGCTATGACTTTGGTTATGAAGGTGATTTCTACCGGGCTGACCAGCCTCGCACTCAGCCTTCCCTCAGACCTAAGGACTATGAAGTGGATGCTACTCTGAAATCCCTCAACAACCAAATTGAGACCATCCTCAGCCCAGAAGGTTCCAAGAAGAACCCTGCTCGTACCTGCCGAGACCTGAGACTCAGCCACCCAGAATGGAGCAGTGGTATGTGGGCCCCAGAAGCTGCAACCCCCGCCCAGTCCCACTCCCTCCCCTACTCCTAGCTGGCGTGGAGAGGACAGGTGGAATAGTAGATGCAGGGTCACAGCCTGGCTCACCTCCCTGAATTCCCAGCAGCTGCTTCAGGCTTTGTCCCCGAGTGTCTAAGCATCTTTGGGGTGCTTAATTATGGCGCACCTTTGTAGGACACCCCCAGGCTTGTGGCTCCGCATGCCAGTCCCAGGAAGTCAGCATTACCCATATCAACCTGTCCATTGCATCACTGAGGAACCCAGGCCACACCATGGGCAGGGGCTGCCCCGAGGTCTCCCCTGACTCCCAGTCTATGGCTCTATCTGTGCCCTGGCCACCCAGATGTGCCACTGTCACCAGTGCGTGATTGAACCTTGCTGTGCTTTGCCCTATGACAGGATTCTACTGGATTGACCCCAACCAGGGCTGCACCATGGATGCCATCAAAGTGTTCTGCAACTTCTCCACTGGCGAGACCTGCATCCGAGCCCAGCCTGAGAACATCCCTGCCAAGGCCTGGTACAATAACAGAAATCCCCAGGTCAAGAAGCACGTGTGGTTTGGAGAGACGTTTAATGGTGGCACTCAGGTGAGACACTGCCCCACGGCCACTGAAGCTGGCCCCTTCTGTGTGCCAGGCTCTGGCACCCACACAAATCAAGCCTCATTCCAAGTGTGCCCATTCCAAGGTCTCAGGGAACACAGGAAGATGTGGTTTGGTTTGCTCCCTGTCCTGGAATATGCCATGATGGGGACCCTTTCCTCCTCCCTGACCTCTCCCCTCAACCTCCACAGGGTCCTCCTGGTCCCACTGGCCCAAGCATACAAGTGTCCCCTGGAGACACAGGCTCCTACGCAGATCAGTGTGGAGGGGGCTTGACCCACTTCATGTTTCTAATCAGCAGACTCCTGGCACTCTGAGGTGCCAGGGAGATGTGGGAGTCCCTCTTCTGAGACCCCTACCCCCTAGGCAGCACTCTGGGCCCACAGCAGTCTCTTTACCCTCCTCCCAAAGGCAGCCCTGCTCATGGTTACTAAGCCCCAGCAGACTCAGGAGGAGACCTCTATGGTCCATTCTTGGAAGAGTCCCTTCTGAGCCTTCACCTCCTCCCCCAGTCTCCTCCCTGCCCCCAAGCTGAGCGTGAGGGCCACTGCCATGAATCCATCTGAGTGGCATTGGACTGGTGCTTCTGGCCCTTAACCAGACTTCTTGCCTTGCTCTCTTAGTTTGAATACAACACAGAAGGTATAACCTCAAAGGATATGGCTACCCAGCTGGCCTTCATGCGCCTGCTGGCCAACCACGCCTCTCAGAACATCACCTACCACTGCAAGAACAGCGTGGCCTACATGGATGCTGAGAGTGGCTCTCTGAAGAAGGCAGTCATCCTGCAGGGTTCCAATGATGTGGAGCTCACAGCTGAAGGCAACAGCCGGTTCACGTTCACTGTGCTGGAGGATGGCTGCTCCGTAAGTAACCAGAAGAAGGCAGCACGTCCGGCAAGGCTGAGCCCATCCCAGGCTTGCCTTTGCCTTTTGTCTCCTGGGGTAGGAGAGTTAGAGCGAGTGTCTCTCCAACCCAGCTCCCCAGATGACGATGGGGCCCCAGGAGCAATGGCTCCCCTGGGATAGCCCCAAAAGTGGGGGCCTTAGACCCCGTGGCATCTGAGGAAATGTGGGGAGCCTTAAAAATTAAAAACAAAATAATGCTTAATTGAAAGAAATGCTGTTTTTTAGTTAGATGTCACTGAATAGAAAGACATCATTTCTCCCCATTCTGGTCACAGATCCCCCAGAATCTGCACCCTGACTCCCAGATTAGGTTAGGATTTTCCTACACATTAATCTCTGGGGACTCCAGATTAAGAACCCCTGCTACAGCAAAACATTTAGGGCATTGACTGCCATTGCAGAAAAAGCCCCCAGGCTGCTATTAGCTCTAAAACAGACCTAGAAAGTTCCTAGGAAGGAACCTACCCCATCTCTTATCCTCTGGCTTTTTTGGAGGGGGTGGGGCAGTTCTTAGGCATTATGCCTGCAGGCACTCCAGAAGCCCAGTGCTGACTTCCTCCTCCTCTTCTTGACACAGAGAAAGACCAATGAGTGGGGAAAGACTGTCATTGAGTACAAGACCAACAAACCCTCTCGCCTGCCCTTCCTCGACATCGCGCTTTTGGACATTGGTGACGCACACCAAGCATTCCGTGTGGACATTGGCCCAGTCTGTTTCAAATGAATGAACTCAAACTAAATTTAAGAAAATGAAAAGGAAAAAAAAAGACAACCCCAAAATGTTCTCTCTTTGCCATTCCTTCCTTTTTTGTACTGAAATCTGATCCTTTCTGTCTCTTCTGCTCATCTCCTGCTTAAACTCTGGGCAAAAGAGAAGGGTCAGGACCATTGGAGCACCGTGCAATGCAGTTTTAATACAGGTCCCCAACCCCCCCACCCTCCCCAAAGGACTTGGAAGTGTCTCAACATCCTAACACCTTGTTGTGGGAAAGGTCAACCTTTGTAAAGAACAGAAACCAAAAAAGAAAAGAAACAATAAAAACCATAAACGTTTGCACCACTTGTGGCCTCTGAGTATCTTCCACAGAGGGAACTTTAAAACCCCATCTTCCAAAGGTGTAACCTACCTCAAGCACCTGCATAAAGGTGCCCTCCCCATCCCTAGGTGCTGGACAGAGGGGCTCTTCTCCTCCCTCCAAACCCCAAGGTGCTAGTTATGCGTATGTTAGAGCGTGTTTACAATACTTGAAGAATGTTGGTGGTGCTAACAGACCCTGAAAGCCGCTCTCTGCACTGTTGCCCTGTCCTGCTCCAGCCAGCTTGGGGGAGGGGGGCAGCACCATCCATGCCCCTTTCCTGCTAAAGCAGGCAGCTCTTTCGCCCAGCTTTGTCCTCGTCTTGATGTTTCAGCACTCCTCCCCCTTTCCCAGGCTCACTCTCATCCTCATCAATGGGTCCAAAGAAGCCTCATTCTCAAGCAAGATAAGAAAATGAAATTGTGCCTATTTTGTATATGTGAGATGTTTAAATAAATTGTGGGAAAAAATGAAATAAAGCATGTCCAATGTTCCAAAAGAAAATACTGAATGAGTAAACTTCCTTGCTTCAGTGGCCTTGTAGATGAATGCACCTCTCTTGGTGCCTGGCACTAGACACTGCAGAATGGTGTGTGTCATCCCACACCCCTGGGCCTCCAGTGGACACCAGCCAATGGAGTCCAAGGATTGCTAGAGCAGTAGAGCCTCTGACTACAGAACCACCCCCCTAGAGCTGGACAGAGATCTAGGCCCAGGTACAGCTCCCAGTGTCCAGGGTGAGCTTTCCTCAGCATCAGGACAAAGAAGCTTGGCTTCCTTTCCTCAGACTCTGCTCCCTGGTCAAAGGATTGGGCCTTTGTGGGGGGGGGGGGATGACACAGTTAGGAAGAGGGGGCAGGGTCCAATAAATGCGACAATGTATAGGAGGCTCTTTTGAACCCTACAGTGGTACCAGAATGTCAGCTCTCATTATATTAATTGCAGACAGCAGAACTGTGCACCTGGCCCACTCTCCTGTGGCCCCTTGGACTGGCTAGCACGGGGGAACTATGGCAGCCCCAGGGCTTTTCTGCCTTGGAGCATTAGGTTGTGTCTCTGACACTCCAGGGATCTGGCCTGAGTCCAGGGTGAGTACATGCTTCACACCATCTGATGCCCCAGGGCTAAGTACAGTGAATGTCAAGCTGCCTGATAGACAACAGAGATGGGGGAAGGGGAAGGAAGCCAGGCCTGCTGACACAGAGGCCAGGATCCCCTGAAGAGTGTGAGAATGCAGACAGTCGCCTTCAGCCCTTTGGCTCTGCCCAAAGGTTCATCCTGAGGAGCAGGGCCAGGCAGTCCTTGGCACTAGCCTCAGGACTACGGAGAAGGCCCAACCTGATTTGTGAGCACAGGGCCTACAGAAACGTCCCTCATCCCCAAGCTCCAGAGAAGATTTCTCCTCATTCTCCAAGCCGCATCACCCCACTGCATCAAGTCAGGACAGGGCAAAGCTACAGCAAGTGTGCCTGCAGCCTGGAAGCCCCCCAGCTGGGCCCTCTCAACATGGCCACTGCTTGGAGCCCCTTTCTGACTCCATGCTCTAGGAGACTACACACAGAAAATGTGGTCCAGAACAGGCCTGTAGAAGCATATGAAATGCTAGGCCGCAGCCTGTGTGGGGCAGAGTGGGCTCAGTGCTATGGGCTACCAGCCAGGGCCACTCTCCCCACAGTCCTGGAAGTGCTGGAAGGGAGTGGGAGGGAAGTTGGGACAAAAGGGACAACTGGATGAAATCTGGGGAGCAGAGACTAACCATGTCTAGCTAAAGGACTGGCTCCTTGGCTCAGACAGCTGAATCTTCCCTGTGCCTGAGGCTCCTTCACAAGTGAGACTCTACTTACCACCCCCTGGAATCTGAGCGATTCCAAAGAAGTGTGTGTGTCTAGGGAAGATGAGAGAGCCCTCAATAGCAAAGCCTGCATGTCCCACACCCATAGCCCCTGCCTATGACCAGGAAACTCACAAAGGCTTCTTAGATCCTTCCTGGAAGGAGGGTGGCCAGTGAGATTCTGAGCTTAACAGATTCTTCCCAAGATTGCACTGAGTGATGGGAATTTCAGCATCCCCAGAAAGCCCAATTCTAGGGGAGGGGTATTGATCAGCACCTCTAATTCCACTCAAAGCAGCTTTGGCAGGTGCCCCTCCAGACTCACTCCAAGGGCATCTGGGATTTGAGACTTCAGGAGTCAACAAACCTGAAACTTTCAATAAGTAGCTGAAAAAACTGAGACTCAGAGAGGATCAAAACAGCCTTCCAGGCACAGAAAGACTCCGGGCCTGCTTACCCCCATTCTGGCCTGCCTTATTGTGATGACTCTTTAAAGGATCTCTGTGGGGGAGTATCTGCCTTTGACCTCAGGGACAAAGAAAGCAGGCAGGGAGAGGCAAATGCTCTCCCTACTCGTGGTGGGTGTTTTCATTTCCCACATTCCACAAACTATCCTGCCTGATTGGGTAGGACTTCCAGGAGTTTGGTTAGGTGACTAAGGGGGCTACAACCTGAGGGATGCCACTTTTCATCCCCTGCCAACATCTCTCCCCCTCACTCCTTGCACTTTCTCTGTGGGCACACGTACCACCTTAAATGCCAAGCCAGAATCAGGCCACAAAGACTAGCAGCCCTGGAAGGCACCTCAGAGGCCACTGGGTCCAATTGTTTTCATTTTGCACCTTCAGAGCAGCCTGGTCTCTTGACTATAGGCCCAGCCCTCTATCCACTGCATCACATAGAGAAGATTTTAGTCAGGACCATGGAGAGGGGACGCCCTAACCCTTCACTGATCTTTTCTCCCTAACCCTAACCAACTCCCTCCCCTAGCCAGCCACATAACACTCCTTCTCATCATGGCATGCCCTCTACTCACCTTCCACTCCTTCCCAGAGACGTGTCCCCCAAATCTCTGTGCAGGAAAGAGCGGTTTCACTGTATTAGATACAAGTGTAATAAAGAGCCAGCAGCAGAAATTCATTTACTGGCCCTACCACCACCATCACCACCACCTGCAACGGCCTCCAGGGTACAACCTCATTCTCCCCAGCTCCTGTGAGAACAGAGAATCTGGGTGAGTATAAACACTCTGGTGCATTTGGAGCCCTCATCTGAAAAAGTCCTTGGGGGGCAGGAAGATTCCAGACCAGGCCAAGGCTGCCTTGGCATTCTGAAAGGCGAGCAACTGGGACAGAGGGGTTGGGAGGCAAGCAGAAGAGCAGAAAACAGAATAATAGAGGCCACAGCAGAAGAAAAAACCAGAGGAGCGGAGGGAGCCAATAAATAGCCTCCACTCTCATGGGGCCATATGAGGCAAGATTCTCGGCTGAGGTTGGGGAAGGGGACCAACAGAAGGTTTGCAGAAGGGTGAGAGAAGGGAAAAGGAATAAGCATTCATATAGCACCTACTATGTGCTGGGAACTGTGCTAAGCATTTTACAAATGTTACTTTATTTAATACTCACAACACCTGGCAAAATAGGTTCTGGTATTATCACAGCTGAGAAAATGGAGGCAGGTTGTGACTTGCCCAGGGTCACACAGCCAGTAAGTATCTGAGGCTACATTTGAACTCTGGTCTTCCCAACTCCAGGCCCAGGGCTCTGTCCATTGTGCCTAGCTGGATGAAAAGGTTTGGAAAAGTTGGCTGTGGTAAGTAGAGTAGTGAATCACTTAGGGAGACATCAAAGGATTGCCTTGCTGCAGCGAGGGTGCAGTTGGGATTAGGTAACATACATCTGTAGTGGATCCAGTCAAGATGGTTTATATTTCTCTAGTTTCATTCAGCAGCACATGAATAGAATCAATGAAGGCAGATGGTAGAATAATTCAAGACTGGAACCTGAAAGAGACTCAAATGTAAAGTGTGGAGTCACCAAGGAGTCAAAATGGAAAAGGGAGAAGAGTGTGGATGGTGGTGATAGCCTGGGAAGAACTGAGGGACACAGAGTGAGGGGGCAGAAGGCAGAGGAAAGATGCAGTGATCAATGATTGGCATCAGATCAAAGAATTTCATAAGTAGGAAGTGGAACAGGTGGGTGTGATGGCAAGATCTTATGACCATGCCCCCACTGCCCCAACCCTCTCAAGTCCTTGTGCCTGAGACTTCAGGCATCAGCACAGAAAATGTCTATAGGAACACATTGGTGTTCAGACATCCATGAACGCTAGCCCATGGAGCTGCTCTGAACCATCCTGAAGAACCCTCCCCTGCCTCCTTTACTCTTTGTCTGTCCAAGATAGCTAGCTCTGTCCATGTAGAATGGGGACTCAGAGATCTCCCTGAGTGTCTCACTGCCTACAGAGAGCGTACCTCAGAAAAGTGAGAAGCGGATGCCCTCCTTGAGGTACCAGCAGCAGCTGTTGCCTTCCTGCATCCACAGCTCAGCTGCCCTGACACCCTGATTCTGGTCACAGTGTCAGTGGGTTAATAGGACTGTCTCTGTACTCGTGGGAGAGGACAAAGGCCCCACTCCTCAGCTCCAAGGGTACACGGCAGAATTTAAGAAACCAAATTTCACCAAATTCACAGAAAAAACTAAATCTGACTCCATGATCAGACGTGGAAACTTTTCAAGAGAAATGTATGGAATTTTAACACTATAACCTGAAATTATTCTGTAGGGAGAATACAAGAGAACAGCTGAAGAAAAAGAAAGTGGGCACACCCAGACTCTCCAATGAACTCAGATTTGAAAAGGATGTCAGAACAATGGAAGGAAGCCCAAGACCGAACACAAAGAAATGGCACAGCCTGGTCACAGCAGCATCAGGAAAACTAAAGGCCACTGGGGTCTGAAGGTGCCAACAAAAGCTTCAAGCCAAGAGAAAAACGGTCTTTGTGATCAGTAACTGGAGCAGGAGAAAGAACCAGGAAGGGCCAGGCCCCTTTTCAGGCCAAAGGTGCCACATGAAAGAAAGACCACAAAAGCTGAAATGCTCTCTCCTCTGGGTCTCTGCAGCTACTTCATTTCAGGAGGAATGGCCTTAACAAGCAGGAAGGCATTCAGAGGGAAGGAGAAGGCCCCTGCACATGGGACCGGGACGCCTCTGAATGGGCCAGCTCTGAGGCACAAGGAAAGAGATGGAGGGAATGTGGAAATCCTGGCACCTCCGATGGACCACAAAAGGAGGTGGTCTAGCGGCTAGCATGAGTGGGCAGACCAGCACCTCAGTGTCTCCTAGTCGACTCTGCACTGCCCACATCCTCTTGGACTCTGATGGAACCCAGTAGATATATTAGACAGCTAAAGCTAGGAGTATTGTATGCATTTCATGGAAGAGAAAACTGAGGCCCAGAATGGCTGAGTTTCAACAGGCCCAGAAGGTTTGGGGGTGGAACATGGCCAGACCCCTCAGGGGCCTCAGGGGCCTCCCCAGCTCACACAGTCAGTGAGCATGCTGCTCATCTGGCTGCCCAGCCTTCACCATGCCTTTGCACAACCAGCCTAAGCAAAGGTGCAGCAAGCCAGCTGTGCCCTCTGCCCTCTACCTGAAGTCTGAAGGTCTGGGCAGGGGTTGCTCACTCTGAGACTCTTTCTCCTTGACTGTCCCAAGACCTCAAGAGGGGCCCCTTCCTCTGATTGGGTGCTCTTCCAGTCCTTTGCTGTTCAGTCTTTCAGCTGTGTCCATCTCTTCATGATCCCATATGGGGTTTTCTTGGCAAAAATGCTGGAGTGGTTTGCCATTGCCTTCTCCAGTGAATTAAGGCAAACAAAGGTTAAGTGACTTGCCCAGGGTCACACAGCTAGTGTCTGAGGCTGAATTTAAACTCAGGTCTTCCTGACTCCAAGCCCAGTGCTCTGTGCACTATGATGCCACCTAGCTGCCCCTTCAGGTCCTACCCTCACCTGAATCCCAAGCTTATCACCCACTACATGGCATTTGACGACCGAAGTCCCTCCCCAGTTTGGCACACTGCTCTCCCTGCACCCAGCTCCCTTCCCCTCTCCAGGTTTACAGCACCCAGGAGCCTCCTCAGATTCCTCCCCTCCTTCAGAGATGCTCTCTCTCCTACATTCACACACACACACACACACACACACACACACACACACACACACAACATGGACATATGCACACAGAACTCACACATGCACAACACACACACCTCTCACACACTTCATATACACCCACTCCTACACACCTCACACACACTCCTGGTGATCTTATTGGCTCCCATGGTCCAATTATCTTCTTTATGCTAATGATTCTCAGATTGATTTATCTAGCTATGACTTCTCTCCCCCACATTCACTCTGGAACTTCCAACTGCTTTCTGGAAATCTCAAAATTAGATGCCCCATCATCAACCTGTCCAAAAGCAAAATCATTTTCTCCCACTCCTCCCCTCTTCCTACCTTCCCATTACTGTAGAGGGTACCTCCATCCTTCCAGTCCCCCAGATTCACAATCCAGGTGGCATCTCCAACTCTCCTTGACCTCACCCCATGTCCCTTTTGTTGTCTCTCAGGGCCACTTCTTTACTGGGGCCTCGGAGGATACATGCACCATCATCCCACTTCTTTGTTACACACCTTCACAAGGTCAACCTGGGTTCTGTCCAGCCCTCTTAATTACTCCCCCAAATAAAGATCTGGACAGGGGCTTTCACTGGGGCAGAGTGTTTGCCATTGGACTCCACTGATGCAGAAAGGCAGCTCACCACACTCAGACCAACATTTAAACCAATGCTTACAGACAAGCTAAGAATAGTGCTTAGCACAGCTTTAGGTATTTAGTAGGTGCTTAATAAGTGCTGATTGATTAAGAGCTGTGAATTCCTAGCACTCTTTACCCCTTCTCATCTGTCCCAGCACCATAAGTTTAAGGACTGAGGGCCATTGTGAAACCTGCTTGCTCCCGCTATAGAAGGAAGCAACTATTTCTTTCACTTTCTTTCTTTTACTCGAATCTTTTTTTTTACAAGATTACTAATATGAAAATGTTTTACATGATTGCACACATATAACCTATATCTGACTGCTTACCATCTCAGGAAGGGGGAGGGGAGGGAAGGGATAGGATTTGGAACTCAAAATTTTAAATAATTTTTTTTAATGGAAAGAAAAAAAAAAGAAGGGAGCAGTGATGATACTGTCCAGACTGGCTGGGGGTGGAGGGAAAACGTCATTCACTGGCTTCCCGATGACCTCAGTGCTAGGAATCAAAATAACAGGCTTGCTCCACTCCTGTCCCGAGGATAAAAAGGTACATAACCTTGGGAGATAACAAGCCTGTGGGCAACTGAATACTCCACTGCATGTAAAGAACTGCCCCAGGGACAGTGGCAAGTCATAAAGGAATGGGACCTCCCCTTTCACAAACAGAGTCTGGTTTGTCCAGATAGTTTCCCCTAGCAAATGGTTTTACAACTGCATTCCGCCTCTCTCACTGAAAGCCAAAGGAATCAGTGCACAGAAGGTGAAGAAGGGCAAAGTCTCCACTGGACTCCTTCTTCCCACTTGCCACACATCCCCAAAGGTGTGACTGTTCAGAAGATTCAATCCATCTATGCATCAAAGGACAGGACCATTCAAGGAAAGCCTATAGCACCCTTTGAATTTTTAATCATTTGTGTGCTAATTAATGAATATGGCCTTTCGGTGACTCCAGGCTCAGAATTCCTGGTGGACAGCCTGAAGGGACCTGACAGGTATCTAATCCAATCCTCAGTTTATGGAGTAGAGACTGAGGCCCAGCAAAGGGAACTGCCCAAAGTCATAGATTTGAACCACGTGCCTTCCATGGCATGATGGGACTTCACTGAAAACATTTTTACTGTCATACTCTGATATACACCATCCCCAGAAACCTTCCCTTTACAGAACCATCTGTCAGTGTTAGCAACACCCTGCATCCATAAAACAGCTAGAAGGCACAGTGGGTAGAACCCTGGACTCGGAGTCAGCAAGACCTGAGTTCAAGTCCAGCCTTACAGACTTATTATGTGACCCTTGACCAGTCACTTCACCTCTTTCTGCCTCAGTTTCCCTATTTGTAAAACAGGGATAATAATTTCACCCATGTCCCAGGGTTGACGTGAGAAGCAAA